CACGTAGTCCAGCGCCTCAGCTCCAGGCCGCATGTCCTGGCACTGCGCCAACCTTGGCCCGTCGCCTTGCTGGGGCTCCGGCACCGCTGATGGCGCGCTGTCGCGGCGTCCGCGCTGGGTGAGTTGCTGCACTCGCTCCGCGCTTCCTAATAATAGGTCCTCTGTCCGACTGGAATACTGAAGGTGGTCTGGTACGCGAAAGTGATCTCGGGGGCGAGGTTGGAGACCCTGTCGTCAATGGTAGCGACGCATGGTTCATTTCCTCTGCCGAGTCGCCGAGCGCGTACCAGGTCGACCGCTGACTCAAAAGCAGGCTGTTCCATGGCGAACTGCGCTGGCGTCGCACTGATAGCACATGTGCCTTGGCTGAGGTGGCGTTGGTAGCATGGTCGGAGCTGCCAGCATGTCCTCGGCGTTCTGGCATGGATTCGACGGCGCAGCGCCGCTGCTCTTGGTGCGCTTGGTCTGATTGCCGCCGTAGATATCGCGCGACCGCTGTCTTGACGGCGGTCTTGAATCTCGGCGGGTCAGCTCTTGCCGCTCGAAGTACTTCGCACATGTTGGCCGACTGGGCTAGGCGCTCCGCGTCGCCTAGGCAACTGTACATCCATTGCGCATCATGTTTGATCTCGTTGGTCTAGGTTGCCTCGTCGTGGCAGTCCTGGTCGATGAGCCTCGCGAAAATATCGGTCCCGTGCAGGGGGAGTCGCAGTGAGCGACGTAGTCTGCGCGCGCATCTTGCCACTGTCGGAGGCAATCGGTTGGCCGTCGCCTCCGCCTTGCGGTTGGATGCTTGCGCGGCGCCGACGTCACTCGCGCGGTGAAATGTTGCTCGCCGGCAACCTTGCATGCGCTCCACCGCGCAGTCCTGGTCGTCGGTCTCCGCGAAGTTTCTCCGCGCGCGATCGCCGCTGGTCAGAGTTAGATATCACGTGGGAGTCATTGGAAAGAACTCTGTTCAATTGGTACATTCTATTTCTGAAAAATATGCTTCCGCGGCGGGCCTCTGATGATCGCGCGCCTGCCGGCCCTTCTCTCGACCGCCAGCCCCGCGGTCGCCGTCGAAGCAAGAACTGTGCCAAGTACCGTCTCGGAGTCAACGAGCTCGACGGCAAGGTCGCCGCTCGCGGTCGGCGCGCACGTCGCCCCCCTTCGCCGCGCCCCCCCCCGTCGCCCTTAGCCCACTTCCGAAGAAGAATAACCGCATGATCGTTGTTTTCCATGTTGAGTAGCACTTCATGTCTTTGCACTCTTTATTTCACGATCTGGGGCAAGGCGGCCGCGGTCCGCGCGGCCCCCTGCCGGGTCGCGGCGGCGCGCGCTGCGACGTCGCCCACGAGGAGGGCGCCCGCGAGTGACGATCCGCCGTCGTTACCTCCAAGTGGCTGGCGCGCCCGCGCGCGAGGGCGGGTCGTTCGTTTTCGTCGAGCGCGATGTCGCACTGGATGCCCTGTTTGGCCATGCCCGTGGAGGCGGCTGCGGTAATCCTCGCGAAGGCGACGCTGATGGAGAAGTTGGGCACCCGGATGCCTGGTCTCGCACCTGCGCGCGGCTGGGCAACGCGCGTAGACATTCTGGCGGTCGCCCACGGGTCGGCGCGGGCGTCTCGTAGTTGTGCTACGAGGTGCCAGTCGTCTATGTTGGCATCGATGCGGGGTGCCTCTTGCAGCGCATGCTGCAGAAATGGCTGCAGCGCAGGAGGCGCGGCCACGCTGCCCAATAGTTCTCGCAGTTCGCCCCCGCCTCTCAGCAGCTCGCAGAAGAAGCCGAGAACAACTGTGAAAAAAAAAAAAAAAAAAAAAAAAAAAAAAAAAAAAATCAGGCCCAGGAATAGGAGACCCCCGCATCTTCCCCGGCGCCTCAATATTTCGACGCAGACGAGGGTCGCGCGGGCAACTAAGTCGGTGCTTCTCTTCGGTCTAGCTCAACGGTGAACATCGCTCAGTAGGTCATGCGTGACTTGTCGCAGCTCAGTTCTGAAGAACCCATGGTGGTGCTCGGCGATCACACTATTGAGTCGGATCCTTCGTCGGTCTCCGAGCTGCATGCTGCTCGTCGAGATCCTAGCAAATGACGCGTGCCACCCTCCTCTGCGGGTCAGTGGATCCACCGCGGCGAACTGGCACTTGATGAGCAATGGGCGGCGCGGGCGGGCAATATCGCCGCTGGCCGTTCGGCGCACGTCATCTGCGACGTGGCCGGCCCCCCCCTGCTGGCGCGGTCTCACAGCGCGTGAGCTCGCCGCCAGCCCGGCCCCAGCGATGATGTTCTCGATCGGGGTGTCCTTATTGAATATTGCGTTGATGGTGCCATTCGCGCTCTCACTGCAGGCGTTCGCGATGCCCTCGGGCGCCCGAGTATTAGCGCGACCATCGATGACGAAGTGGTCCAACTCCGGCCTCGCTTGGGCCTACCCGCATATGGTCCGCCCCCCTTTGGCGTCGATGTCGCGCAGTATGCTGTGCGTGTCGGTACAATGCCATGCATGAGCTGGCATGCGCGCTTGGCTGTAAGTATGCCTGCGTGCGTTGACTGTGGCGCATATGTCCATTCTCGCCGCGCTCGTTGACATGCCCTCCTTATCCTGATCAGCGCGGAAATCGTGCTTCTGATGCACCACCCTCGAATTCAAATAGGGTCCGTCATTTACGTCGCAGTCCCGAGGGTACAATGGGATGTTGTTGAGCTGATGGCGGATGGAATTCGGATGGGTCATGTAGGTTACATTCTCGGGGTCCGACCGTGGGACTGGGCGCTCAGTATGTGCGACGTCGAAACACGTTTGGTTCATCACAACCAGGAGATGGCCCTCGCTTTCTGAATTATGCCGTTCTCGGCGATGGTTGCGGTATCCGTTATACGGTGCCTAGGCTGGCGGTTGGGACGACGAGAGAGATAATGCGCTCGCTGTTGCCACTTGTTGTGGTGTAGGTGTAAGTCGGCCCTCTGGAGTCCGCAGCGCGTGTTGACGGCGGTCGCGTGGCACGTCATGAGGATATCGTGGAGTCGTGTGCCATACTGTGGTGTGTCTACTGGAGTCTCCCTGCTGTATCTGCTGTTGCCACCATGCTGTCGTCCGCTCTTGGTCCACGTAGGTTTTGTTAGTCTTGAGCTTGGGTTTCCCTACTTGGCTGTGTAATGCTTTGGTGCGCCGCGTGCGTATTCAAGCCATCGCGTTGTGGGCCACTGTCGATCAGGATCGCCCTACTGCGCCGTGGTGATGGCCAGCCCTGTGAGGTCAACTGCCACCTGCTGGATCCTATATGCAGGGGTGGAGCCCGTAGTGGTGGTAGTGTCTGCTGTAAGCTGTTCGTGGATACGGTATATGCGCCGTGGTAGTATGTGCAGCGCGCTGGAAAAGAACCGTGCTATGGATTTGAATCGTCTTGGTCGCAATTCGTTTGTCGAAGTCCACGCGATTGACGATAAGCATGTAGTCGCTGATCGGTGGCGTGCGAATCGCTGCGCTGTAGGTGATGCGTCGTCGCTGCGCCGCGGAATGATCGATCCCTCGCTGTGTTCAGCTGTGCCATGGTTGCCTTGCGAAGTGGGTCGTAACTGTGTGTTGCTCAAACAGCTGTAAGCCAGACTGGAGTGAAGAGTGCGCCGAGGTAGTCGCACACGTGTGTGATGGGTCTGTGATGATCCCACGTAGGGTACTATATCCTCGGCCTGGTCCCTGCATGAAGCCGCTACTTTGCATGGTATGAGCCTGTTGTGCCTGCCAGGTGGAGAAAAAGAATTAACTTGCGGGCCTGTAGTTCAGATACAATACATGGCCCATGAATAGTATGTACGTGTTGGTCTCCCGTTCGACCATGCAGAACTCGAACAGGCCGTCGTCTCCGCATTGTGCTAGCATCAGCGTGTCGTCGACGAAGGAGATGTTGGTACTGTTCGCATCCTCATGCGAATTGGCTTAACCGTTTGGCACGGCTTCACGGATTGACGGCGGGTTTTTTCAATGTGGCTCTCGCTTGACCGCCGCACGCATTGGTTCGCAAAAAGGTTCCAAGAGCTTCACGGATGGAAGGCGGGCCATTCTACGTTTGTTTAATGTGGGCCTCGCCTGCGCGCCGCACACTTTCACCTTAAAAGTTCGCAAGAGCTTCACCGATGAAAGGCCGCTCCTCTTCCAGATGGGGTTTTCACCTCAGCGCCAAAAAAAACGTTTCGACATTTCTTATGGTTGGCTTACCGGAAATGGTGCCCTGGCACGGTCTAAGATTGCAAAGACGCAGCGGTAATATTGATTCGCGGTGTTGACGTGCAAAACAATGGTTTCTGGCACAGAGTGAGATCGCTGGGTCGCAACAACAACGTCCCAGGAGTGGTGCTGGCACGCCTGAAGATGTACAAACGATTGTTTCCAACGGGGCTCCTCCCGAAGTGAAGAAGAGATCCTTACAGGAGCATAAACGACGAGGGAACTTGAAGCAAGGTGCATTGCAACATTGGTGATGGGTCTTGGGTTTGCAAACCTCCTCCTCCTCCTCCGCCTTCTCTTCCTCTTCCTCTTCCTCCTCCTCCTCTTCCTCCTCCTCCTCCTCCCCTCCTCTTCCTCATTGTCATGATCATCAGCAATACCATCATCTTCATAATCATCGTCATCGTCATGATCATCATCAGCATCATCAGCACCATCGTCATCATCATCATCAGCATCATCAGCATCAGCATCAGCATCAGCATCAGCATCAGCATCAGCATCAGCATCAGCATCATCATCATCATCATCATCATCATCATCATCATCATCATCATCATCATCATCCATCATCATCTCATCATCATCATCATCATCATCAGCATCATCATCATCATCAGCATCATCATCATCCACCCTCCTCCTCCTCGTCCTCCTCCTCCTTTTCCTCCTTGTCCTTCTCTCCCGGGGGGGGGGGGGGGGGGGGCGATGGCGTCCGCGCCACCGCTCCTGGCCAGGGCGCGCTGCACCGAGCTGGCATTCTCCAGGGCCTGCAGCGTCCCGCCAGAAAGCCTTATGGGACATCGCTTCTTCCAGCTCCCTCCTCCTCTTCCTCCTCCTCCGCCTCCTCCTCCTCCTCTCCGCCTCCTCCTCCTCCTCTTCAACCTCACCACGTGAAAAATGAAACTGCTGAAAAACTATTCCTCTCCCTCTTCCTCCTCCTCCTCTTCCTCCTCCTCCGCCTCCGCCTCCTCCGCCTCCGCCTTTGCCTCCGCCTCCGCCTCCGCCACCACCTCCGCCTCAACCCTCCTCCTCCAATTCCTCTTCCTCCTCCTCCTCCTCCTCATCCTCCTCATCTTCCTCCTCCACCTCCTCTTCCTCCCTCCTCCTCCTCGTCCTGGTGCTCGTCCTCGTCCTCGTCTTCCTCATCATCAACATCCTCCTCCTCATCCTGATCCTGCTCCTGCTCCTCCTCCTCCTCCTCCTCCTCCTCCTCCTCCCCTCCCTCCTCTTCCGCCTCTTCCTCCTCCTTCTCATTCTCCTCCTCCTCCTCCTCCTCATCCCGTTCCTCCTCCTCCTCCGCTTCATTCCTCCTCCCTCCTCCGCCCTCCCTCCTCTTCCTCCTCCTCCCTGCTCCTCTTC